TCTTGGCTTTCCATGCCTTTTTACACCTCCCTTTCTTCATGTGTTCAATACTTTTTCCCCTGTGCCATTCCACATCATTACAAATAATTTAATTTTTGGACATTTATGGTTTGATTTCTTTGTATGTATGGATCACTTGGGTTGTTACCAACAACTGGCGAAAATTTCATGTCATTWGCACCTCTAGTAATATATTTACTGAGAAAAATGGTGACGTGTTCTATACTTATTTTACCCGCTGTACATAATTCCTGCAGAGATTAAAGGTTGGGTTAAAGTCCCATCCACTTGTGCGTGTCAGTGTGCRTGTGTGTGTGTGTGACCCAGTTCTCCAAATGATCATCAAAGGTTTAATCCTCGGTTTTATAAGAAGATGACCAGATGACCCCTGGGATGAGCGGGGAAAGCGTATTTTTTTGGACCAACCTGTGATGACGAGCGTGTAGGGGACGGAGGCCTCAGTCAGCATGCCCTGGACGTGGTCCGTGAAGAGCTGGAGCGCCTGGCCACGCCCGCTGTGGGGGTTCACCAGGATCATGGTCCGGCACGGTCTGCGCAACTCCGCGTACGCCACACCTGAGGCCGGCAAAAATAGACGGAGGTGTGAAAAAGTGAGGAGGAAGAAGACGAGGGGGAGGATTTTAAGGAATGCTTAAGCTAATCGAGCTATGGGAAAACAAAATACAAGAAACTGAGGGAGCAAATTAATACAATTAAGTAACAAATGAACCCATCACTAGACTGAGTTCAAAAGAGTTGAGCGTTCCTCACTGATAAAACGTTTCGTCTGATCTCTAAAGGTTTATGCAACAGAATGTTTTCTTTCACTGACCAGATGACTTCAAACACAAATCTATTTCTGAAGCGAGACAGCTGAGTATCTCTGTTTGCTTCATTCCTGTCATTGCTTCCATCTGGTGCAAAGCACAAAATCAAAGAGACAGTCTGAAATATTTTAAGTGATGTGCAGTTAAGGAGGTAGTCGTCAGTATGTTACCTGCTGGAGAAATGACTGAAAGCGTTCTCAGTTTGAAATGTCAGGCAGTCTATCTCTGCGCTGGTTGGATAAGCGGTAAAAGATGACAATCTGACRAATGCATCACAAAGATGCACYTTTAAAAGCAGGGTTCATGCAGGTATCAGCAAGTTCAGTTTACCTTTTAAAGACATTTTAAGACTTAGGAATGACATTTAAGACCAAACCGATGCATTAACAAAAATATTAAGATGGTCCCAGAAATTTTAACATAGAAACCCGTTTTAGCAAACTTAGCACTTTATAAAGCCTGATCGTGTCAACCTCTGATTACGGTGCTTTACTCTGTTTWTTTATGCAGCTAACGCTTCTCGGAAATGATTGAAAGTAAATCATTTAAGACTTGACAAAATTAAATTTAAGACCTTGAATGAAAATCTGGGCGTTTCTAAGACCTTTTTAGGCCTAAATTTTTGTTTTTCAAATTTTATACTTTTTAAGACCCTGCATGAACCCTGTAAAAGAATCAAGAACCAAACGAAGGACAGACTTTAAAGTCTATGTTGGTGCTGAAATAGGATAGTGTGTATAGAGGGGCTATTCATCTAAAATGCTCTGGGTCTGGATATACGGGGGATGTTGCCTAAAAGAACAAATATTATCATTGTTTACCTTTTTAATTTGTTTTATTGCATTGCAAACTAAGATTTACAATAGATTTAAAATCTGTATTTATATCAAATTAGGTTAAAAATAAAAATATAGTTTTTCTAGGGTGCAGGCCTCATTGGTGGGCCACACAATAGTCCCCCCCACCCCAGACCCAGTTGAATCGTCATTATTAAGGTTTTAACTGAACTTTATGAAAAGAAATTTAAAGGCTGTTGAAGTTTTCAATAGTTTTCAATAGTTGGTGAAATACCAGTTTATAATAGTTCATCATTTGGGGACAATGAATTTTTAGCAAAAAAAAAAAAATTAACTATAATTTTTTAAATAATTTAGTTTTGACCAAGAAGTTGAAAGAAGTAATACTTCTTTACCTATTAGCTGTAATCAGGTGCAGTATTGAAAACATTTAAACATTGGCCTACATAAGCCCTAAACTTAGCTTTAAAAAATATGAAATGTGTGACGACATAAAAACCATTTTAATTAAGCCCACATATATTTAGCCCTTTACAACCATTAGCCTATGCCTCGTTTCYGCTTCTGTGCTTTAATTTCCGCTACAGAAAATGAATTAGAGGACCCGTGTATCAATTTTATTACTTAAATATTGACTTTTTATCTTAGATTTTTTTGAGACACTAATACACAATCTTGTTGTTAAAAAGACCCAACTGTCCTATCTGCACGTCCTTTTATGACCTGTGTGTGACAGCTGGACAAACACAACGTGGGCGTGTCTACGTGAAATCTGTCTCAGACACCTGCAGGCCACTTCATGTCCGTCACACAGCTTATACTCAACATTCAGCTCCAGTGGCTGAATTTCACATGTACGTAAATATACACACACGATGAGCTGAYAGGCAGACTGGATGTGACAATGCGTCAAGGCAGACTAGTAGCAGAGACAGAGAGGTGTTACTTGTAGCCACAAATGTGCCAAAATTATCCAGCTCTGCAACATAAAGCTGCACCGCGTCTTCGATATCAGCGCCGGCGGGGATTCATTAAAGCCCCAAACCGTTCAAGAAAACTGCTGGGGCAGAAGCTGAAGTGTGTGTGGGGGTTACTGTGTGAATGTGCTCAAAAGCAGTATGCAGACGGAAAATCAAGCATGCGTTCCGAGGACGGCTGAGTGTTTGCGAGGAGGAGGAGGGTGATAAACACTCGAGTCCACCGAGGCAGCATCAGGAGCGCGGTGGCTGGTTGGAGGGAGCTGACAGGCCGTCACATCTGTGTGTCACAGAGCAGAAGACGAACGCTCCGCTGGGACTGAGATGCCGGTGGGGGTGAGAGGTCGTCTTTTGACGCATTTTATCTYTTYGCTGAGCGAGCCATGACAGCTTCATCTGAGCCTCCCCCTCCCCTCCCCTCTCCCTGGGGGATCACTCAGTGACAGGCACGCCTGACCCGAAGGCAGCAGAAAAACTCTCAAGTTTCTTTGTGTTTAAAGTAATAGTTCAGATGATCTTTAGAACTGGGGTTGTGTTAACAGGTWATGAACAAGTATTATCTTACAAGATAGCCAGAGATGTATCTAGACTCCATGGAGACACTAATCAAGTGGGACAATCKAACCCCTATACGCTACATCCCACCTTCAACTAAGGACATATTAACCAGAGTCATGCAAAAGAATTATATGAAAAGCAATAGCAATAGTTATTTAATGATAAAGCACTAAATAACACAATAATTGTTCAACATTTGATTTATTGTGTTGAAATTTGGGGTAAGGCATGTAAAACATTTACTAATTCTATTCTTATTC